CCAAAGGACAACAAGTACACGTACAAGTACAAGACTTTGTAACTATATAATTTATAGTTTAAGTATAATTTAAGCATAATTTATAGTTTCAAGTTCAGAGGAGAATTAAAATAAACTTTGACCAAAAAAGTTAATGCTGATAAAATAAAATTGCTATATTGGACAAGTTTCAAGTCTCCGAAGTGTAAATTTATTTCAAGGCTGTAAAAAGACTGTAATATATAGCTTTCTGAAACATGTACCACTATTAACTAAAAAAACCTCATTTTGGGATTAAAACTCCTTGAAAATGCCTCATTTGTTTCCTCTTCATATTATTCTTCCTTATTTAATAGCAACAAATAAAATGGTAAGTGTAGCTGATGTTAATTTCGTGAAAGATTCTTGGAAAATGGCGCCAAGTATGCTAAATACTCATGTATACATATCTACACAACACAGGAAATACCACTACATGAGATACAGTACAGATACAGAGTGTTCAGAGTGGGATGGATGACTTAATCCACACATGGTTTGAATAAAAACTATGAATCCTTTAACTTTATTTGTGCTTCCTCGTAGATGGATTTATCCCTGGAGTTTGGGCGGATAGTCATCTACACTACGAGTTTCCGTGTGGTTAGGACGACGTTCGAGCGCTGCGAGCTGGTTAGAAAGATCTTTCAGAACCACAGAGTGAAGTTCATGGAAAAGAACATCGCGCTGGACAGTGAGTACGGGAAGGAACTGGAGGCGCGCTGCAAACGTGTGGGAGAACCTCCTTCGTTACCAGTCGTGTTCATTGATGGACACTACCTTGGGGTCAGTTCTCTCCGCTCCTGCATAATATTACCTGAGATCAATGTATGACACATCTGCAATGACTTAATTAAAGACGGAGGATTACTCTTTTTAATCGGCAGGGTGCTGAGAAGATACTTGGCATGAATGAATCAGGAGAGCTGCAAGATCTTCTGACAAAAATTGAGGTTAGTTCCTCTCAGTGTGCCTCAGAAATCACAATGTGCATAACAGATTTGACTGTGAAGTGAACTGCTTCATTTGGCCCACACAGATGTTACATTATTTAAATGCTGCATTTTAGATTTGCCTGAATACATATAATATTAAATCTTAAGGTAATCACATTTATAATGAATGACTGGATTTCTTTGGTTGAAAGCCACTGAGGTGAACACATACAGATGCAAACAGCAGCACAAAGTTCCCTAACTAGCAATGCCATAAATAAAACACAAGTAAACTGCATTGTAAAACATGCGTGCACATCAATAGGCAACCATTAATAATGGAGGTCCTGTTATTGATTCTTTCAAACACATCAACACTGAGCAGATGGATTTGTAGCACAAACTGAACATGTACCAACCATTACTGCTTCACACTGAGCTGCAGCACATTCACTGGGCTTTTTTCAGAGTACAAACCACAAACAAATGAATACAAAGCAGTATCGTGACATTTAAGCCATGGATACAGTCACTGCATGGTATTAAACAAAAGTATGCAGCTCCGAAAGGTCATGCATGCAAAAATCTGTCCAGAACTGACCACTGACATGGCTTGATTCATATCTGCAGCTCTGCAGCTGAGCAATTTGGAAAGGAAGCTGTGTTTAAAATAATATTATTATGCTTATTTTCCTTCTATCACACATTGAGAAAAGAAGGTTGTTAGCTCTCACGCAAGCCCATTAAATATAAAACTAAAAGCTGGAATAAATTGGCAAAAACTCTCCTGCATAGGAGAAAATACCCAGCAAACATGCCTGTGTGGGCACAGAGTTGGCATCTGTGGGTGAACTATGGGGCAGGCTAAACCCACACTTTCTGGGGCCCCTGCATAAATTTTCTAGATGTAAATCCACTATGGGTTGCCCACAGAAAACCCATGTGGGCCCCATGTAGTCCAGTCCTTGTGGGGCCCGTAGTAGTTCTGCTCTTTTGGACAGCCAAAAGGAAATTCTTCTGGGCTGTGTGGGTCTGCCCACAGTGCTCTCACGCGGGCCCAAGGGGGCATGTTGCTGGGTAAAAAAAGCAAACTGTATTCATATGTTGCTTTTCAAGAAGAAACATCCAATGGAAGAGAGTTTGACAGCTTAGGAGTCACAACCTAAAAAGCACAGTCTCGTTTTGCTCTTAACCTGGATCGAGGTACTCCTGACAAGCACTTATTAGTGACTTCAGAGACCTTTTGGTTTCATGTTGATCTATCAGTCATTGCTAAAAGCTCAGGTTTTGTACAAGTTAGACAAAAAGGACATGCACCAGACCTAACATTAGGTAGGAGTCAAAACTTCTTCTGCAGATGCTCAATCACATTGGCATCTGAAGCATGCGAACACTTAAAGCTGTTTCTTATTGAGCTGGCTACTTGGGTTTTAGTGAAAGGTGGGTTGCAAGTGTGCAGGCCCAAAATCTCCTAGCAGAATGTTGCATCGTATTAAAATGAATATTGTTATTTATGTCAGATGTCAGTGTGTTTAATGTTATGCCTGCCTGGTGTAATTTTATTAATGGGTAAGTTCTTTAGTGGTAGTCAGTCCTGTTTGTATTTATTATTTAAATGAACCTGTCTGTCCATTTTAGAGGGTACAGCATCCCCAGACGTGCCAGACCTGCGGGGGCTACGCCTTCATCCCGTGCCCGATGTGCCATGGCAGCAAGATGTCTGTGTTTCGTAACTGCTTCACGGATTCCTTCAAAGCCCTCAAGTGTACTTCGTGCAATGAGAACGGCCTACAGCCGTGTGCGAGCTGCAGCCAGTGAGGGTGTTAAGTGCCTGAAACGACATCACTCCTTCTTTCCTTGGGACCCTACAAAGGGACTGTAATAATACGCAGGCAGTGAAAGTCCATACAGCAGGACTCTTTCTCCAGGGCCATTGTTAGCAAAGAAGATTTGAATTTGTAATAAAATCTGTGAATTCATGGATTTCGGTTTTGCTCGTGTGTGTATGTTGAAGCATCATTTGAAGGTCACAAGTTTAGGTTATTGCAAAATCCTCATTCAAAGATCTTTGTTCGAATCTCTAAACAGGCAGTCAAATAGGTCCGCTGAGGAGTCATGAACTTGCTTCCTCTCTTGCAAGCCTAAGCTTGTTAGTTAATTAGTGAGGAGGCCCCTTCATTAACAATGCTCTCATTACATAATCCCATATCAGACAGAGTCCGGGATAACAGACACTCAGCACCAGGAGTGAAAGTCAAGCGCTCAGTTTGCAGCCAGCAGAAGGCAGCAAACTGGAACGTTGTTTACAGGCAAGTACTGTTCAAACCTAGCATTAAAAATTCATACACAGTACTGTGCAAATGCTTCAGGCACTTCAGATGTTTGTACTCATGGCAACCCCGAACATAAAGAATTACCTAAACGACTAAGGACATGGAGTTCTGTAGAAGATGCTCCAGCCCCAGCCATGAAGTCTGTATGTTGACATGAAGCACAGTTTACCTGTGTACTATACTTTGAAGTTACAGGTATGGAGTTTCTTACCAAGAACAATATATATATATTTTGGGTAATTGTCATACTGGCAAGCAAAAGGACGACTGAGACTCAGGTTTGTATCTTACAAAATCTTGACACACCCTTCTTTCTTCATAATTCCTTCCACCTTGATGAGATTCCTAGTTCCACATGCTATGCAGTGTCACCACAGCACGGTGTCCTATCACTGTTTCACTGTGAGGACAGTGTTCTTTGGGTTCTACACATCTCCCTTCTTTCTCCAAACATAGCAAGGCCAAAGTGCTCTTCTGATCATCTGACCAAAGGATGCGCTTCCAGTATGCACACCCTTTCTCTGGTTGTCCTTAGCATACTTCAGTCTGGCTTGAAGATATCTCTTCTGCAGAAATGGAGTTTTTCTTGGTCTGCGAGTCAATCCCTGTGCAGGATTCTAGCGATTCTCTTCTTTGAGACTACAATTCCACTTGACTAAGTCACACACCAGCATCTTGGCAGCTGCGCTGGGGTCTTTAGACACATCTCTCACTAGTTTTATTCCCAGAGTCTTTGAAGTCTTTCCTTTCCCACCTCTGCCAGGCTTCTGTAGTGTGTGGTTCTCTCTGAATTTCTTGATGATGATACTCACTCTAGTTCTTGACACTGACCTGACTTGACCCTCAGTTTTAACATTACATTACACACAGTAGTTTGTGCTATGGCTCAATAAAAGGGTCAGTTTTTCAATAATATTGACCCTAGTAATTTTTATTAAGAAATAATTCAGTTATTGTGTACAAATCAAAATAATTCCTGCTTCACTTCAACCTTATGTTAAACCACCTTTATTTTATCGGCTGCCCATGACAAACAAAAGATTGGAGCAGTTTGAATTTCTGTGTGGATCCTTTACATATGCTGATTATTTAAAGCTCTGGCGATCCATCACAAACAATAGCTTATGTAGCAACAGGGTTTGTGCTTCTCATGTTTTTACTATTCTAGTCACAGAGCTAAGTAGATGATTAGTGGAAAAATCAATATCAATGTTTAAAGAGGGCACTTTTATAGCCCATCTGAAGGTGTTTCTGTATATTTACTGATGAAAAATAGCTGGAAATTTGAGATCTGTGATCTTTTTTGTGTTATATTTCATGATATTACATACATTAAAACAGAATTTTATGGAGAATCATTTTGCATCAGTTCAGTGTAGATGCCAATGTAGAACCAGTTCCAGGCGTTTCCTTTTACGAAAAGAGCACCCAGTGCCAAAAAAGCTTCCTTCCCATGATTGCTGGGTTAGAGACTGTTGAAGTCGGAGGCTATGGGAGAGGCAAGAAATTATAGATAAGCTGGTTCTGGTTACCATAATTTTCTGCCCATGGTAACTACTGCAATTTTCCTCACGTAATTTAAGGTTCTTAAATCTTTCAGAATATAGACTGGTTTTCAAAAGGCGCCACAGCAGAACTGGCTCCACACGGGCTCAGTCATGATATCAGTAAAACTAGGCAGGCAAAATGTAAGTAGACATAAACTTCACCCATATTCAATGAAAGCATTTTAATTACATTTTTGTGCAGTGCTGATAAATCTACAAAACCCTCAAGTTGTTTAGAGAACAGACCCTGCTGTTTATATATATATATATATATATATTAAAAACCTGATATTTTTGGCTGTGAGCATGAGGTTTATTTGGCAGTAAATCAGATGCACTGGAGCCTACATGTTAAGAGACTTGGGTTCATGCAGAAGCAGCACAATCAGATGGTACTAACAAAGAAATCTGGATAATTCAACCCAATGAGCTGTTGATGTGCACACGTTTTAACAGTCCGACGTAATGCAGTGCATGTACGCCTTTAACTAAATTAGCATGAACCTAAAAGACACAGCTCAGTGGCAGATCACATGCAGTCCTCGCAGTTTGTGTTTTTAAACGGATGATGTCATTAGTTGGCTGCCATCCACGGGGTCAGGGAAACGCAGTGCCCGAGCCGCACAGCTCTCTATGCTGTCATAGCCCTGTACAATGCTGCTTGAACATGATTAGACAAGGCAGCACTGTAAAGAGGCTAAAAGCGTAGAGCAGGGTGATGGTGATGATGCTCATCCGCCATGAAGACTTTTCGTGCCATCATACGCGACCTGGATTATTCTAGATGCTCCTCACCTGTGATTGAAACAGCAACCAAATCGATCATTTGGGGGGGACGTCAGAAAGAAAAAACACACATTTACGCACACACAGTGGGCCCGCGTAAAAGCAAATACACAGTGTTGAGATTTTCTGCAGGAGTAATGAGAGATGATTACAACGCTACGTTTGTTGAATTCAACCCCGCGCTGAAGACTAATGGGTTTCGGGGTTTTGTAACCACAGGCTTGTGGTGATGGAGGAGAGGCTTCATGAAAATCTGAGACCCCAACTGTGCAGGTTAACTGCGCCCCCATCTGTGGGTTGATGGAGGCGAGGGGGGGGAAACAGGATACATTGAAAATAATAACATAAAGCAGCTACATTTTTTTCTTTTCCTTTTTGTTTTAAAAAAAAGGCGCCGACAAGATCTGTCTGTAAATGACTGAAAGCGGCGATGTGGCGCGCAGGAGGCTGCGAGAGGGCTGAAGATCTATGTGCTGATCTCCAGACAAGAAAGACACTCCTCGACGCAGGTTTCTTTTCCCTTTTAATAAAAATGAGCCGATTCAGCCCGAGGATCTATTTTTCTCTCTCTAGCTACACATGCACAAGCGATTCTCTCTGTTTGAGGGGAGACATGGAAGGAAACAGGATGGGCAGTGGCACAACTGACTTGGGAATGGTATGACGAGACATGACACCGATATGCGCGCAACACCCCAAAAATTTAAGACAACATTTAACGGTGAAAAACCTGCAAATGGAGATCGTCCGCCCTCCAGGCTCGGCGAAAAATTATTTCAGTCGAGCAGTCTAGCGTGGTCCGGCCGCGATGCTGTGCGTAATGTTTTGAACGGTCGGTCAATGCGCAGACTGGTTGGAAATGACTGTTTTTATTGACGTCAGCGAACAGGCTAGTGCCCCCCTCTCTCATCCCCACAACTGCACCATCTAATGGACTTGGGTTTACAATCCAGTCATCCATCTGAGCTTTAAACAGGAAACAGGAATCCAGTTCGGGGAAAAACAATGCTTTAAATTCTACGTTTTTAAAAAGACAGATAAACATATCTGGTGGTGCCTTTTCCAAGACCTACAAAGTTATTTAGTTTTTTTCCGCGTGTGTGTGTGTGTGTGTGTGTGTGTGTGTGTGGAGAAAGAAAGTGTGGAGCTTCTACAAGCAACACCAATGAATATTGGCACAGCATTCAAAACAAAAGAGAATTCAAACAAACGACACAAAAGGAAACCAAAAATAATTTAATAAATTATCTCATATCGTCCCATGTCCTTCAACAGTAGCGTCATCGTTATGACCCAAGAAGAAACAGTTCACAATCCCCTTCAAAAACACAGATCTGCCTTCCCAACCGAGGCGAAATGACTCCGGCCCCCTCCTTAAGCATGACAGCACGACGGTCATGTGTCAGCGGCAACAAAGAATGACAAGCAAAAACACCGTCACAGTCCGGTTTATACAGAACATTAGCAGATACATCATGAAGGAGTAACTTCACAACTTTTCTTTTTTTGCCACATGCTCCACAGGGTGACGATGCCTGTAAGTTTTCAGCTGTTGGTGGACTTCAAGAAAAAAAGAAAAGAAATAAAAGGTAGCTGGTCCACTTGTCTTCATTAAAGATCTCTTATTTATACATGGTGGGCAAGAGGCAAGGACGTTTCCACTCCTTTTGCATTTTATCTTTGGAACAATACAATCAGTCACGTGACAAGACGAGCATTTCTAACCCTAAGAACAGCGTTTAGAGATGTAAAGTCAGTGCCTATTATTGGCTTGGAAGGATGTCGTCATCAGAGCTCGTTTAAGATTATAACCCATTAAATGAAAACAATAATACAGTGCAGGCTTTCCAACACTGTATTCAAGCCCAGTGGTCCAGACCAAGTATTTCAGATTTTTCTTAAAGGCAACAGCGCCAACTGTTAGGTTAGCTACTGTATCTTATTAGGCTACCAGCTCTGCCAGCTGCTTTACACATATAAAACAGCTGTTTGAACGAGTTAGCAAAATCAAGAAGTAAAAACAAAAAGTAAAAAGACTAGGACAAACGTTACGCCTTAATACAATGTTGTTCAGCTGATATTTGATTATGTGAGCATGTTTCATCTTGATCTGGGGCTCTCCTGCTGATACAGACCGTTTGCTTGCTTGTGTTTGGAGAGAAAAAGTAGTGCTAGCTGTTCACAGTTCCTCAGTGTCACAAAGGCTCCTATGCTTGTCATTCTGTCCTATATATATGGTGGAGGATCATATTAAACATGGCAAAGCTTTCAAAGAATGAGGTCGGCATATGTACAAGTAACCCCTGTGTGCCAGAAGCTTTCTTTTTTGTTTTGCTATGTATGATGACATAGTGAGCCAGTATTCCCAAAATGGCCATCACAGGAACACAGCTCTGTGAGCAGAGAAGCCCCGCCCACATGTTTAAGCCATCTGCTGAAGGGCAGCCAATCAAAAGACTGTTAGCTTAAAGGTAACCAGGATAAAACAGCTCATTTGAGACTGAGGATGCAATGAGGGCCTGCACCAAGGCCCAGTGTAGGATACAGTCTGGCTTATTTTGAACTGTGAATCATGTAAAGCCAATCTAATGTAAAAAAAAGTGATGAAACTTTAAACCCTGACTTATCGAGCACTGCTGGTCAGGCCTGTCAACTTTTCAGGTGGAAACTCTGCAAATCCAGGTTAGACAACTTGTATTCATAACATCAAGTCCTACTATATTCACTCTACCTATTAAATCAAATATCTCGATAATACCATTTGACTTTCTATAATCGCAATAAAAATCTATTCATCACAAATTCTGTCTTCGTTAGAGAAGCTGCGGCATCGCACCGTCTTCAGTTAAAAGGAAACAGAAAGAAAAACCCTCTAACCTTGTCTGGTCATTAAATAAGTCTGGGTTGAAATTGTAGCTCTTTGGTTTCCTTTTGCACTAATAAAGGAAACTCTGTCACTGTGGTACAAGTCTAGTAAACGACACTGGTCCTGTTCTCGGTTTTGCTTTAGACACAGACACGAGCCCACATCATGACACTTTTATGGAGGAATGTGAGTCTAAGCAACCAGCCAGTGGACTACGCTGTCGTAGTTTGTGTGCGAATTTCTAGTGAAATTCAAGGAGCCTAATGACAGCCGTTAGTCTTCTGCCAGAAACACTCGCACTGGAATGTGACAGCGGATCTCTGGCAGGGTGAACTCACAGTGTCCCAGACTGAAGTTCGGGCATAGCTGCTCGAACACTGTCTGTGCTCATCCTTCTGGACTATTCTACAGTAAGACTTGAGAAGTTGTGCGGGTTTGTTGTCCGTGTTTGTTTTGTAGTCAGAAAGAGAGGCAGAGGCAGGCGTGGCCGTCCTTCCAGCTTTTTCTTCATGGCATTTCGGGATGTTAGAGTATCTCCAAGTCTACATGACGGACCTCTGGGTTGCGTTGCTGTAGAGGCACAAAATCAAAGTTACGCACAAACTTGACTTGCAATTCTTAATCAAATACTTTTATTTAAAAATACCATTCTATGGTGAAAACGGAGGTTTGTGGCTTATGATAGGTTGGAAGCCTGGATCACTGCGATCCTCTTCACAAAAAGCTAACAGGATGTTTTTTGCTGAAAATAATGTCTGAGTGAAAAAAAGCGTAGAATTTTTGTTTATCAAACCGCCACCAAATCTATGTTTTTGATATGTAAATGCAATTACCACAAGCAACATTGTCAACGTTAGGCTTTAAATGAACGACACCATGGCTGGATGATCAGAAATGGATCTTTTTTGGGAGATGGGATCATGTTAGATTTCCCAGACAACACTCTTAGTCAAATTCACAAGTGGGGTATTTCTTATTTCTTTACAAAATATGAAAAGCTGCTGCAATTATTTTAACAAGGACATTATTATAATGAACTCAGTGACTGAGATATGAGAGCTCATCCTGAGTGTTTCCCAGCTTAAAACAGGAATCTGGAGGGAGTGACTACGAATACAAACACAAAGGGTCTGCATCTTCTCAATTCATGCAACAGATTCTTTTGCCTTAGGAGAACTTTAAGCATTCCCCTTTTTGCCATTTAAGTAACAAAAATGTATTTTGAACTTGAGCAAATTAAACCCAACTTCACAAAAAATGTATTAAACATCACAATACTGGTGATCCTTCTCCGGTCTAAGGCCATGACCTCATTGGGCACCAAAAGTGTTTCGTGATGCAGGAAAAACTTTTTCCTGCTGCACTCTGTAACAGCATGAGACAAACAACAAACTAGAATAGCAAAGAAATGTATATTTCAGTACTTTGAGCTCTTTCTCCAACCGGTCCACCTCAGCTCCCAGGGTGTCGATGATGTTCTCTCCGTGTTTCAGCATGAAGTTCTCCAGCTCCTCCGGGGTTTTCACCTGCTGAATGTCCTGCAGACACAAACACAAACATGTAGTTTTGTCAGTAAAGATATGGGTCAACATTCATGACATCGGTCCTAGCCTGCTATTAGTGATCATTGGCTAATGCAGCTCATCTGTGCCTTCAAGGGTATAAAACATGGCCCACCTGCTCAGCCATGTGATGTCATGTGATGTCTGTCTCTTGGGTGCTTGTGTTAAATAAAACAGATTTAAATAAAACTTAGATTTTATTTAAATCTGGTGTGGTCTCCCAATTACTGTCTGAACTTTGAGGAATGTAGTGACAGCAAAAACACCATAAGATAATTAATAATAATAAAAAAGTGCCTTTAACAACGTCAGATGCACACAGCACTAAACTCAAAGATTTTGTTTCACCAGTGAGTGTCAAGAACTTGAAGCAACTGATGTCTGTGTAAAAAGATCAGTAATCACTGGAATTCATACTGAAGAACTGTATGACACACTGCATAGCTCATGGCCTGCAAGGACAATAACTCCTGCAGATGATGATTACACACTTATGTGTGGAAGACACAAGAATGTGACATTTAACAGGATTAGTTCTTTTATATTTCAGGACTCAAGGTGGCTGTGTACATCTGACGTTTTTAGAGAAGTAAGGATTTCTACATGCAAATGATCATGAACTGTTTGCTCAACACGATGAGCTGTGTTCACAGGACAAATAACTTCAGGGAACAGATTAGAATCTTGTATACAGAAAAAAACTATGCTAACATTTGCAGTTAGCATAGTGTTCCTGACTTTATTAATAAGTTAGAAAGAAAGAAAGTGCACTTTATTAAGTTATTAAAGCAACCACTAAAAATAGCAGTGGCCAAACATCCAGTCCACAAACTGCTCTCATTCTGAGTACAAACATCAATACTAAAACAAGATAACTTACGTTGAGGATTTGGTCAATGTCTTGTTTTTCCAGATAAGACCGTGTCACCACGCGGCCATCGAAGTCAACTTCAGCCTTGAAGCGCACTTTACTCAGTCCCATATCAGTGGCCTTCACATCATGGATGGCCCTGCCAACAACACAATAAAACATCTCAATGGAAGAAACAGAAAAACTACGGATCTTAGTGGAGGGAATCTGCTACAACACAAAACGATCCAAATGCAAATGCAACAAAGAAACCGGTGAAACTGGTTAAAAGGTCATTTTTAATTTGAACTGCTGTTCACTGCATGTTGATTTAATCTTGACCACTTGTTTGTGGGTGGATTCAATTCATCAAAACGAATCATCCAGATTCTGAGTTAATCGAGACCGAGTTCATGTTTTGCAGTCGAGGAGGTTCGCGTGTGCGTTTGCTGACCTTACAGCAGGATCGTTCTCCAGAAACTCTGTGAGCTTCTGCACGCGCTCAGCCTGTATGGAGCGTCCCAGCAGGGCCTCTGTGTTAGTGTAGATGAGGAAGGCGGAGACTGTGCCCAGCAATGTGCCAACGCCAAGAGAGCCCAAACTATCATAGGCCGGGTTACCTGGGGTCAGCGAGTAAACATTCAGGTTAATGACTCCAGTCCAAAAGATCAGAAACATTATAAAACCGAGACATGACAACTCATGTATTTACCTGTAAGTGAGGTGAGCCCCATGCAACCAGCAGCCAGAATAACTCCCAGTACAGCAGCAGCATCCTCCAGCAGCACCACATTGGTGCTGGGGTCTCGGCTCTGCATCACTGCACACATGAAATAATACGAGAGCTTATTTATAGCTGAATTTTCAGATTTCTGACTTTATTTTGCAATATTCAAATTAATTCTGCCTCAGTGATGCCGTCTACACACAGCAAGACAAAACACACTATTTTCATTTTACACCTCATCCTGCTGTAAGTGTAATCGCAACAAACATATTTTTTAAGTTAAAAGGCACAATCATACATGTGGCTACTTACCAACACAAAAACATGCTTGTTGTCAAATAGCAGTTCCTAACATGGAAATCTCTAAGAGGCAGCCATAATAGCAGCTGTTTTAATGCTTTTAGCACAGGATACACTTTAGCATCCACTATGAAAGGAAAGGAGATAATTCACTGACAAGTACAGATGATCATCATGTAAATTACTGCCATGTTTTCCACAAATAGTCATAAACTGCTAATATATTGATATCATTTGTTCTTTTCTTTAACACTTTCACCCTTTCAAACAAGAATGCTAAAGGCAATTATGAACCGTGGGCTAATGTAATAGAAACTGTGGGACACAGCATTTTAATCCTAATATTTATATACAGAGCACTTTTCTCAACACATATTACAATAACGGTAATATGTGTAACTCAGTTTGCACTTATTTAATCTCATTCGAGAATTTCATTGGATTATATTCACACAAAGACAAGTTAACCTGCATAATCTCATCCAAAGAATATTTTTACTCAGTTATTCATGTTGAGATAAGATGCTTTCGTTTTTGCAGTTGGGACATTGTAGTCAAAAAACAAAATGAGCACATGTTTGCCACATTGACCTGGAATAAATTGTAGCGCCAGGTGTAAAGACAGATATGAACTGATCTGTACGTACCATATTCATAAAAAGACAATCCTTGCTGGCGGGCGCTCCTCTTTATCTCATTGATGGCAACCAGTAATGTGGCTGAGAAAGAAACAGATGTCTGAGAACAAGCTGCAGAGCAATATCTGATCTGATCTGTTGGTTCATTACTATAACTTACCTCCTTCAGACACCAGAGAGCCCGCCAAAATACAGTAAGCCTGCAATGAAGAAAAAAATATGTCGGGAAATGTTTTTTAAATTTGTGTTGAATAATTTGAGTCAACACAGACACTCACCCATAACAAAGACTCGATGGGTTCCGGGTGCAGCAATCCCATGATGCCGTGGTACCAAGAGAGGCCTGCTCCCATCATAAAAATGCCCACCCCACTGATGAGGGAGGCAATGTAGCGCATGTTGGAAAAGCCATATCTAAATATCAGAACAAAAAAGCAAATACAGAGCAATGGCGCTCAATTACAGCCAACATTTACTCCACCATTTTTTATGTAGAGCAATAACAGAGATGTGACACCCGCCGCAGCCTCAAAGAGTCAATCATCAGCTGAAGCAGGCACACCGAGCGACACTGAGGTACCCACAGAAGACGTTTTGTGGGCACATCTGCTCACCATCATAGCAAAAATGTAGGCATAACTTTTTTTTTCTTACTGTCTTCATAATTAGTTGCAATGTCATGAAACTTCACAAATAGATAGAAAACGTATAACTTAGAAGGTGGGAAAAAAGCCTTGTAGATTGATTTTGCATAAGGACACAAAACCTTTTAAATGTTTTTGACCACTGAAAGTAAAATTATAAATTTACATAAGAAAGTTCAAAAGACCTACCTGGAGAAAATGGCTTACTTATACTCACTATGTGCATCCTCATCTCCAAAAATTAAAAAAAATGGTGTGGGTGTCTTTTCCAAATCCTTTCTCCCTTCTATGAATTATTTATTAGCAAGTATCCACATCAATGTATCTAATGTTTCTATATTTCTATACTTCTGTAGTGCCAATGTTAGTAATGTGCAAGAAAATTTAATATTTGGATGCTGACAATATGCTGCAACTGACTTTGACACATTACTGCTTTTATTCCTTTTCTGGCGAGCACTGAACCTCTTCTTTTAATTAGTACAGGAAGGTGTAACACTTACGGGTGCACGGCATCTGGGTTGCGGACAGACTGGCTGATTCCCAGAGCGAGCAGAGCCTGGTTGCACGTGTCGGCCAAAGAGTGGATGGCTTCAGAGAACATGCTAGCTGATCCAGTGTAGACCCAAGCCAGGAGCTTGAAAAAGAAATTCAGCCCATTTCTGAGAACAGAACATAAATAAGTGAAGAGCTCACCGGGCACACAGATGTAAGGTCTCACATTTCAAGCTCAACAACAGTTCTGATTAAATTGGTTTATAGATTTATCAGGTTGCCTGCACTGAAACCCATTTCTTAAAAACTGTTTTAATCCATCATTGTGTGTAAATTGTTCCAATTCCTATTCTAATGCCTCTCAATCACTGTCATGTGCACTATGCAGTCCAGTGAGCCTCTCACCACTCTCCTATTTCATACTGATTTTGCTACATGTGACTGCGCATGTTCTCTAACACAATCACCTTAACTTAATAAGCCACAGGACTGCACATGATGCATGCAGTTTCCATGCAATTCCTAATAGAAATGTGTGCATTTCTCGGGGAGTCTTTACAAGTTACTTCTCATCTGAGTTCACATGAATGTTTTGCACTTTTATTCATCCGCAGCAGATTTCTGTTTTGCCGTTTGATTATTTTTGCACCTTCTGATACTTATCCAGCATACTGTATGTAGTAACCCTGCTGAGAACAGACCCGTAGCTCCTCTCTCTAATCCAATACCTCCCACTGTGTGTGCAAGAGCTCAGCAAAGCTGCTGAGTGCAGAAAGACTTGGCCACAGGACCAAAATGCACTCATGAATGAGGGAGACTGGTGAAACAACTTACATGCAAATAGCAACCATGACCACCTTCCCTGGCCCTTGTAGAAATGTTGTCCTCTGGCCTGATCGTGGCTTTATGAAAGATAAGAGATATTATTACTCTGCAGTTAAAAGGAAATAAGACCTGTACTACGAAGCAGGATTACAGGCTTAACGAGATGACTTCAGTGTTAACATATGAAGGTGCTACACCACCACTGGAACTTAAGCTGAGCAGGTTTTACTCGAGATCAGCAGATACGAAACCATCACCATTCCTAGAAGATCCAGTGGCCCACAGTGTGCAGATAAAAAAGAAAAAGAGGGTCTATAGTTTTTAGAGACCATCTAAACAGTTCCCTTAAATAAACACATTCTAAGTGCAGGGGACCTATGGCCTTCAATTCTGTCCTGTTGGGATACACAGGGGTACAAAGCAGCACAGATTGAGCCTCAAAAACAAATACTGTGTACGCACAAATCTGTGCATAAATCCTGCGTGCGAACAGTTCACACACAAATCAGTAATTTATTCATAATTTGGTATCTGAATTTGTTTGTACCTCTTGAACATCTTTAAAAAAAACAAACAAAAAAACCTACTTACTACTACTGATTATTAACATTATCAGTTTTTCTTGTTATTATCATTATTATCTTTGGTCATAATTTACAGCCTTCATCTAGATACATCTGCTCACATTCATACAAACACACTGGTTTGGCAGCAGCAGTTGTGTTCACTATAACATGCCTTATGTGTTTAACTTGTCTTGAACCTGTGGTTCCAACATCTTTTGCTACCAAGGCTGCTGGATTGGACTTTTTACTTTTACCATTTTAAACCTTGTGGGGTGCTTCCTGTTTTAGGCAGCCCACTTTAAATCAGATTAATTTGCACAAACACAGGTAAAAACCAAAGTGACCAATTTCAAAGTAGAGCACATATACAACTATATTCTTTTTTTTTAGTTCTTTCATTTCTGAAATGCAAGATGTATTACTGTACAGAAAAAGAAAAGCATCAGATAAATACCAGTTAAATACCAAATAATCATAAATGGCCCGCTGCTACGTGGCCACTTGAGAGGATGATATTACTACGATCGTTATTGGGCTCATATATGATTTGTGGCTCCATGCAAATTTTTGTGTGCTCAAAAATGTCCCTTTTGATACTAAAGGCTGAGGAGTTGTGACCCAACTACTCTTTGTTCGTAAAAGACACCACTAGACAACAAATCAGCAGATCTGTGTTTGTGATGGGTCTACCCCGGGTTGACTTTGAGAATTAATAACCACCTTTGAGTAATGTGGAAAAGCTATCCTATGTATGCTGAACTTGCACTGCAGTACATGCTCTAGGTATCCAAAAACCCTAGTTTAGGTTGCTAAGCAAATAAGAAGATGTATGTATGTTGTTGTCAGGATGTAACACACCAGCAGAGTATAGAAAATACCATGACGCTCCAGACAAATGGAGAACAGTGCAGTCACTGAAATAATGTCAGCATCGTAGACTAAAAAGGGGGACTGTGTGAATGCCAAAAGATAATAGGAATGTGTCAGAGATGCAGTGACCTCTCTAACAGGGGCAAAGATCAGGTAAACACCAACTGATACTATTTTATCCAAAGAACTTGGACGTGGGTAGATTAACATTACTTATCATGCTATGGACAGCTGGTAATATTATGTAAATAGTAAATGAACTGGTTCTTATATAGCGCTTTTCTACTCTACCTGAGCATTCACAGGACCTTATACAACTTGTCTCGTTCACACAAAAAAAAAGTGCTTTATATCTAACATTCATACACCAAGGGAGCAACTTGGGATTAGCATCTTGCCCAATGATATTTGGCCTGCAGAGTGGACCAGAAAGGGATCGAACCATCAACCTTTCATTTAGTAGATGATCTGCTCTAACCCCTAAACAATTACAGCAATAGAAGCAAAGAGCTCACCTTAGTGTTTCCCCAAAAGTCTTTATATTCTTGCAACAAGCGCTGATTCCGAAAAATATCTTAAAAGAAAAAAAGGGCAAAACAAAGCTAATTAGTTCACAGACCAACAAACGACAGAATCATTTCACATAAATAAAAAAAACAACAATGTCATCATTAATACATGTTTCCACCTGCTATTTCATGGCTGCTGTTAAACATTTTGTCACCAAAAATCAGGCTTCGGATTAGAACTTCACTGTTGTGTGTGTTTACATGCATGAAGCATTTGAATAGAGTAAATCATTTTGACATGCACTGGATTGCCTGACTTTCTGGAAACAGTAGTAGTAGCTGCGCTTCCGATGATTTTCTACTTTTATCCTCACCTTGCTGCGTAGATTTCAGTTTCAGTGAAACTGAAATTTTCTCTGCCGCATTTGTGACTCGTATTTTTCATCTTTGAAAGGACCTATACTGCATTCTTGTTGTGTTGACGAAACAGACATGCACAGTAAGGATAACTGGCAGGACATTTTGATCCAAAGGAGCACAGACGGGTCAGAACCTTCCCACTGGTGCATTCATATCTAGCGTTTTTATTCAGGTCAGGCTTTTAATCTTGTTACTTTTGTGCATGTAAGCATGGCTGCTGTCACTGTTAACTCCACACTTACCTAACTCAAGGTTGACTGCTAGGTATAATTTTTAAATGTTAGTCCGTATATGCTTCAAAGCCACTGAAATAACTTGTCTTTGTCTCTGAGTTTCTTTAACACTGATGGACAGACAGTTAGTTTGTATATCACAGCTGACATGACAAATGATCTATAACATGTTAAGTTAACTTTATTGTGTTAGGGTGTCCCGACAAATATTTATTTTCCATGTCAGGCTTTGAGTGCGAAGAACTGGAATATTTCAGTACATTAGATCTAACAACGTGAGCGTTTGTCAGAGGTTTTAGAGTAATATGGTGAGCAAAAAGAGTGTACTCAGTACCAACTGCAATGTTTTCTATAAATTAGCAAAAAGTTTTGAAATTTCAAAGCCTGTTGAACTGTTTTGGATTAAGACCAAAGATAAAAACCTACTCTCTTGGTACTCTCTCTCCACCTCTTTCCTGAGGTTTCTCTCTCTGGCCAGAGCTTCATGGCTTCCCCAAACATCTAGTGCTCTAATAACAAAGAGAAATAACTGAATTAACAGGGGTTAAGAGAAAAATATCAGTGAAGTCTCTGGATTAAGCAGTAATAGTTTGGGAGGTATTGTAATGTATTTGTGCTTAAGATGGAAAGCAGAGGTGTTTAACACTTACTTGGCCTCAACGTCTGAGCGCAGGAAGACAGTGAAAGCCTCTGTGTCATCATGGGGGCTGCGCCTTCTGATCTTCCGGAGTTGTTCCAAATCACTGTGAACACGTGAGGGTAAGACTTAAGTTAGACCCATGCTGCACAAGGCAGTCCTACATTAGTTAATCACAGCAGCACACTTCCTTATTAACCAAATGAAATTTGTCTACCAGCATCCAAGTTAGCAGAAAACACTCAGCTTAGCTTTGATGATTTACAATTTGGTGCTGTTGTATAAATCAAACATTGAATGTTAAACAACTGAGGACGAGGAGTTACCTTGGTTTGAGGCAGAACTCATTCATCGCTCTGACTGCAGTGATGAAGTTGTTCTGAGTGTATTTGGCTCCATATTCCCTTTTCTTCAGGACAGCACGAACTGCATGTGACCACAGTGGGAAATTAAATTCAAGCTACCCGATCACACCCACATTCTTATTTTAAATGAGTTTAACGTGATGGAATGACAAATGTTGTTCTTTACCTTTCACTTGAATTGTCTCTGCTTTAGTCAGACCCTGAGGTGTTGCACCTATTAGAACAAATAATGTATCTTAACTGCACATTCATCACATCATACATTTATCATTTAACTGTTTCCTACTGTTTGTGTTGACACGAGAAGCAACAAATACAAAAATATGCTTGATTATAAAGGAAAACCTGTGCACATCACAATGGTTTATATCAAGTCTCTCAACGGCTACAATTTATGGAGCTTATGGAAATCTTCAAGTTTCTTACCTGGTGATTCTGGGGTGGCTTGTGCAGCACCAGATACAACCTTTGCTGCAGAGGGGGCATCACCTGATGGTGGTTTTGGGGGACCATCTTTACCGGTATCAGAGGTAGAGTAATACTGGACCTTGCCCAACCCTAGAGAAACTACACGGCAGTCTGGGAGGCTGAACCATAAGCTGTGTAGCCCTCCGCTTTGCCAACCTGTGCAACACAATCACAACTTGCCTTTTCATGCCCTCTCAAACAAACACCAAGCCTTAAGAGAATGAACAGATGACCTTAACGTGAAAGTCTGCTCACCGTGGCACAGCTGCGGAAACCTCGGGGGCCGCTGTGACAGGGACGATCTCTGTTGCAATGAGACCCTGCGGAAAACATGCCACGGTCTGTGGGCGGCCAGGCTGGGAAACATCCTCGCTGTAGCGGGAATCGGTACTGACGCACAGGAACTTTCTATGCAAGAGTCACAGACAGTCCGCACGTCAACGTAACCCACTTCTGACAGATTAAGGCCTCTCACGTCCACACAGTATCACCAAGCAACTACGTTAGCATGGCTGCAAACAAGCGTTTAACTGACACGGATGTCAGTTAAACCCCGTACCTGCTTGCAAGCACTCACAGAGATAACCCGGCGGTTACGTACCAAACAAGCTAACCTTGCTAGCCAACACCGTGAGCTAGTAACCCTGAGCCCTCGTAGGTAACAAGTGCCGTATAACATTTTAATTCACTTAGAAACAACTGACTAGAGCGTACATTTAAATGGAGTGCTCATAGAACCCAGTACCTTTCTGTGGTGAGGTTTATTCAGCATAATCTGTGTCCATTTTGCGAATCTATGGCCAAACTGATGATGTGAACGCCACTGTAGCTTCACAAACACACACGTGACTTGTGACGTGAGTATTCGGCGTTGCTTTAACAGATATCGCGATATTTTACAAACCGTTGTTTGGACCATTCGTTTTGACATCTGACCAGGAATTTCTTTGAAGCCGTAGTTTGCTCTAGTATTTGATGCTTCTTGAAGAGTTTCTATGCTTCTGTCAGTTTTTGCTTTCGATGCTCGTCTTGTAAATTCACCAGCGGGAAAAAATATGCTTTATGTGAAAAAGTGTTCATTTATTTATTTTATACTACAAAAAGATGACCCATATAAATCATGACTTGATTTATCAAGGGGAAGAAAAAGCTATCAAAACTTACCATATGAAAAAATACACCAACTCCACTTGTTAAATTATGAATTCACTGTGGTTAACCATATTTTTTGGAAAGCTGAGTTCAGTTTTACTAGCCACAGTCAGCTGTTGAGAAAAGGAACACAAAGGCTTGTCTTAGAAGAATAAAATAGAATAATCCTTTAATTGTCCCACAAGGGGAAATTTGGTTGTAACAGCAGCCAGAAAGACACATATACAAACAAACAGTACACAGGACACAGAACAGAAACATACACAATTTTTCTTACATATTTACATTAAGGACAATGGTTACTATAAACAGAGTACTGTACAGTTATTAAATTAAATAAAAATAACTACAGATAAGAGGCAAACCAGGTTGTAGTGCGAATCGGTTGATTAAATTATTGCAGTTACAGCGCAGATGTAAACATCCATGTTTGTTGGGAGCAGTTCTGATTGTACAGTCTGACAGCTGCAGGGAGGAAGGACCTGCAGAAACGCTCCTTCATGCATCGAGGATGCAGCAGTCTGTCACTGAAGCAGCTCTGCAGCAACATTTACATGCATGGGCTGGGAGACTCTGTCCATCAGAGATGTTATTTTGGCCACAGTCCTTCTGTCTCCCACCACCTGCACTGGGTCCAGGGTGCATCCCAGAACAGAGCTGGCCTTCCTGATGAGTTTATCCAGCCTCTTCCTCTCAGCTGCTGATAAACTGCTGCTCCAACATACAACACTGTAAAAAATGACAGATGCCACCAGAGTCATAGAAGGTCTTTAAAAGCGCTCCCTGGACTCCAAATGACCTCAGCCGCCTCAGCAGGTAGCGTCTGCTCTGACCCTTCCTGTAAAGAGCATCAGTGTTGTGGCTCCAGTCCAGTTTATTATTCAGGTGAACACCCAGGTACCTATAGGAGTCCACTATCTCAATGTCCACTCCCTGGATGTTCACCGGTGTCAGTGTGGTGGGTCAGCGTCTCCGGAAGTCCACCACCAGCTCCTTGGTTTTCCTGGCGTTGATCAGCAGGTGGTTCTGCTGACACCAGTCCACAAAGTCCAGAGTCCACTGTCTGTACTCTGAGTCGTCCTCACCTGTGATGAGGCGACTATGGCAGAGTCGTCAGAGAACTTCTGTAGGTGGCAGCGTGGGGAGTTGATGGAGACGTCTGCAGTGTAGAGGGTGAAGAGGAACGGTGCCAGCACAGTTCCCTGTGGGGCCCCCGTACTGCAGACCAGCGTGTCAGAGACACAGCCCTGTGTCCTCACATACTGTGGGCGTCCTGTGAGGTAGTCCAGTATCCACTGGGACATGTGGTGGTCCACTCCTGATAGCTCCAGCTTGTCTCTCAGAAGTCGTGGCTGGATGGTGTTGAAAGCACTGGAGAAATCAAAGAACATGATCCTATGGAAAGGGAACAAAAACAAAACAAAAAATCACGGACAAACAGTATCCCATATTCTTGATTTTTACTTTACAAACACTTGTTGTAATGACTAACTACTCCTGACATCAGGCTGATCCTGCCACGATTTGTTCCCCCTGTCTAAATGACAGGCAGTATTTCATAGTTGTTTATGTTTTTAAACCCATTTTGCACAAAGAGGCATTTTTTGAAAAATGTATTTATAGCAATGTTGAATAATATTATTGCACAAGAAAAAAACAACACGTAAAATAATCACACCGTGACGCCTCTGCCTTTCTAAATGGAGGGACAGTAACGTGGGTAAGCGTGTAAAACCTGAAGACAGTCAGATTAACAGTAACAGTATTTTGTTT